CTCATCCTTGGTTTTAGCACTCTTTTGGACCTTTGTAAGTGTCCAAGACTCGATTTTTATCATGATAGGTTGATAGATCTTGATTTTTTGTCCCTTAAACTTCTTGTTCTAGTTATTTGGAGTTGTGAGATTGCATAAAGTTTGCAACTTTATGAATATTTGGATCTTTTGGTATGATTAATGATTTGGATCAAAAGTGTAGTTGATTTTTTGAGTCACGCATGTGATTTTTATCATAAAAAACCTTATTTTTTACTCTTTAGGGATTCAAGACATGCATTGGACATGCATGTCCATAAAGCACTGACTTTTATAATGGTTTTGGTATTAGAAACCCTTCTGGAGCGTATGAGCTATAGACTTTGTGGAATAAGTTCTTAATGAATGAAGTCATGTCTTATTTAGCCTTTCTAGAACCTAGGGTTTGAGATTTTAGCCTTTCCGATGGTCTTATCGCATAAAGTTGTAAACTTTATCCTTCTAGACCTTGTTTCGGACCAGATTTGAGCTTTAGAGCTCTTAGAATCGAAGAAAACAGCTTAACCCATTAAGCTATTGAAAAACTAGTGCCCACGATGTGGCATTAGGTAGCCACGGCGTGGTAACTAGGAAAATCGCGATTGTGTGGATGTTTGAAGGCCACGGCATGGCCATGGGTGGCCATGACATGACGTTTGACTAAAGTCAAGATTGACTGTGGACTTTGACCGTTGACTTTTGACTCAAGTTAACTTTTGGTCAAACAATTAGTTTGGATGAAAAGGTAAGGGTTTATCTGGCATGACTATATAAGTTGTGTGTAGCAGTGGTATTCTAACAGTAAGAGCAGTAGCATTTGAGCATTTTTTGAGAGGTGAGTCTTCTTGTTGTATTTATGGGTCGAATGCACCAATGTCGGCTCACTGGATTGTGTATGTAGGATACTAGTTGTCTTTGTGACTCTTGCATGTTGTATGATGAGGTTGAAATAAACCTTAGTGCTAGGCCCATTATTGTATTCTTGGGTTGAAAGAAACCTTAGGGTTGGACCCATTATTGTATATTAGGTTGGAATATACCCTAGGATTAGGCCCAACTGTTTGTTTGATATGTGGTATTTTTGGAAACTCACTAAGCTTTGTGCTTACAATTTGTGTTTATGATTTCAAATACTTTCGGTATGAAAATGAGGGGCCCGGCGAGATGGCATAGCATCCCCCTCATGATTCCATATTTATGATTATTTTTACTCTGATGATTTGACATTTTATATCATGGTTAACTTTGAGACATCTGATGTAGGGAATTAATGACTTTTAAAAAAGAAAAAAATTTATCACTGTTTTTAGGATGTTACAGAAAATGTTTTGTTATTTATTTGAAAACTAGTTATGAGACCCGTATATTGTACGGGTTGATTAAAAAATGTTAAATAGAAACTATTAAATGGGAAGTTTATTTGAATTTGAAGTATGAAATAAGTGAAAATTACGAGAAACAAAAACATGCGAGAAATAAATAATTAAAATTATGTGTTTTTGTCATACGCTTGCACTAAATGGGTTAATTATAACAAAATGATTAATACAGAGGTTTAAATGGTAAATTTATTTAAAATTGAAATTCAAAAATAAAATTAATAATCATTATGATATGTTTAATTTATGAAAACTAAATTAATGATATATTGGAAAATGAAAAATAAAGTAATTGATAAGTGGAAAATAAATATATCTTAAAATTATGACAAAATGACATGTGGTTAATTGAATGAGAGAAAGAAATGTGACATAATCATGCTTATTTATTAGGGTAGACGTTTGTTATACTTGAAAAACCAATGTACATTTTTACCATTGATTACCTCTAAAGAAACCCTATCATACATACTCTATACTTTGTGTGTGTCTTTGTGTGAATATATATATATATATATATATTCTTAGTTATTTTGTTTTTACTAACTATTATGTGCCAAAATGTACAGATCTGAACCACCGGATGGAATAGAATCAAATGTCATAATCTGAGGGTCTATGATATTACAATATACCATATAATCACACAAATTTCAGCATAAAGGCATTTTAATAAATTAACCTGTATTAAAAAAAATTGGATTTTTAGGGATGAATAATTCATTTATTTTTTTAAATCTGAATATTTTAAATTAATTCAAATTTAAAAATCCGATTTTATTTTGTCAGAATGACAGAATGCCAACCATAAACTAGTAAATATATTTTCAATTTTATTCTTGCATAATATATTTCCAATTTTATTATTAATACACATCCAAAATTAAATACAAATCCATACATATTCTTACAGACTAATATCCTTATACATTTTAATTTAGTTATATATATTCTAATAGAACATCATCGAAAATGAACAAAATTCTTAAAAAATAGCACTCTTGAATATACAATTATTGAACAAATACGATTGATCCTCTACAGTGGTCCATATAATCAACTTGATCTTTACATATATACTTGTTGTTGAACTCGATTCCAAATATTTCTCTTGTATGATCAATATTGAATTTCTTCTCCATGCAATTCTGAAAGAATAAGATACATTACTCATTAGTATTACCAATTAAAAATATATTTATTGTTAACAAACATTCTTAAATATGTTCTAACATAATGCATTTATATAAATAAATTCTAACAGAATACATTACAGAATGCACTTAAATTAAAGTCTTTTCTTCTATATGCATAAACATTCTAAAGCATGTATAAATGTATTCTGTTAGAATTACTAGCAACACATGTTTTATGTAAAATTTATATTCTCATAAAATGAACATGTGTTGCATTCTGATATGAAAAAAAAAATCCCCAGCTTAACCCTTTTCATGCAAATTCTGACAGAATGTCAGCTTAACCCTTTTCATCAAAGACAAATTTAGAACAATCAAGTATCAAGAAAAAATGGAAAATCAAGAACAATGTATCATTATTTAAGTCATATTCTAAATTAAAAAATCAACTTGAATGATGGATATTTAAAACTAAAGAAGAATGAGAGCACAATGGGTATACTTGTGAAATCGGAAATCAACATGAAGGATAATCGGAAATCAAAGAATCGAAAATCAGTGAATAAATCAAATGTATAATCCATGTGAAGAATCATAAATCAGTAGCATTCAGAGGAATAATTGCAAGCAATCAAGAAGTATAAGAAGTGGAAATCAAATATTACAGGGAAAAATCGCAAAACCTTTCATGGGAACGGGAAAGATTAAGACGTATCCATTAGCTATCTAGGTTATACCCACTTACTGTCTCATCCTGTAAGTGAAATAGCTTCAGAATAAAACAACCAATAATAATGTTGATGCCATATTAATAAAAGGAAAATGAGTCTAAAACCACCTTCTATCAGAGGGTTTTCGAACCCTAGAAATTTCGCAGCTAGGGGATATTGTTTTGTCTCCAAGCACTGTTAAAACCCCTTGTTCTCTGATTCATAAAGTTGGTGGTTTGACGGTCATGTGGGGTGGTGCTATTGCTCTGGTGGTGTTGAAATAAGGAGAGGATAAGGGTTTTCGGGCCTATGAAGAGAGAACAAGATGATGGTGGTTCTACATGATGAGTTTTAGAGAAAGAACGGAGAATTGGTGGTGGTGTTATAGGTTTGTGAAACCGATAACCTAAATCAATGGGATATTAATTGATTTTGTTTTCATTTACCATAATTAATTATAGTGTAGATTACTCTTATACCCTTCTATTATTTATTACTGATTTAATTATTTCCTCAATTCTCATTGGTGTATACATGCACACAATAATTACTAGAAACAATTGAACATATATATATATATATATATATATATATATATATATATATATATATATATATATATACACACACACAATGTTGCAAAAGTCGGCCTACTCAGCTGATTACTTGGAATCGACCTTCCACTGAGGCGAGTAATGTGAACTCGGCAAAAAAAACTCAGATTAAGTCAAAATCGGTCAACAACTCTCTAACTCGGGCCTACTCAGTCAAACTCGATCAACTTGGTCAAATGGTCAAAATTGTCATAAAAAGAGAAAAAAAAAATCAAAAATTTCAAGATTAATATGTATAATACACTTAATGATTTATTATTTAACACACATTTGATTATTACTACATATATATCTAAAATTTTCAGTAATTATTTATGAAGTAAGACATTTGTGTGTATTCCAGTTTTTATGTATTCACATGTATCTAATTTTGTTATATATTTCAATCAAATTATAATTTTAATTTATGATTTTGACATATATAATTTTCCTAAAAATATTTCTACATGATTTACTAAATCCGAGTACTCCCTGAGTACTCGTTACTCTCCAGTCGGCCGAGCAAGTACCGAGTAACGAGTTCTACAACATTATATATATATATATATATATATATATATATATATATATATATATATATATATATATATATATATATATAAACAGAATTTATTGAAAACCAAAAAATAAAGATTATTTCATTTTATTATATAAAAAATAGAAAAATTGAGTAAAGTAACTATTATAAACAAGGTTTTAAAAAAAAAAAAAAAAAAAAAAAAAAAACCATATTTTTTTAGTTTTTTGAAAAAAAAAAAAACCCCCACTTTTTCTGGATACCTAATTCTAGAGTATTGTTAATCTTTTTTTAGGGTTTTTTTTAATTTTCAAAGAAATTATTTTGTTTCTTTTTTGGGATTCCAAATACTACATTTCGTATTGTTTAATGTCACCATTCCTCAACTCCGAAATGATATTTCGGATTCCAGAGTAAAATTTTGGATTTCAAAAAGAAATAAAAAATAAAAAAATTCTCCAAAATTTCAAGAAGAGCCCTGAATTTCAACTATATACAATATGAATGGATAAAATTTTACGTTGTATTGAAAAACAATGATATTAAACATTACGAAATGTAGAATTCGAAATCCAAAAAAAAAAAAACTAAATATATATTTTTTGAAAATTTTATTTTCTTTAAAAACCTCGTTTATAATGTTTCATACAAGCAAAAATCCCAAACGCCATGATTAAAAAAAATTAAAAAGATTAAAAAAAAACACCTACATTCCCATACATCAAATATATGCAGACATATTTTATTCAATACACAATCTTCCCTTCTCTTCCCATTGTTACCCAATCCAAACAAGTACTATACCCCCATCACAAACTACCTCACAAGTTACAAGTTACAAGTTGCAACATTTCTCTTTTTTCATCCCCAAATCCTACATTCTACACAAATCATTCTCTCTATTTGTGTACACATCGTTCCACAGAACAACTTTTCTGAAATTTGAATTTTGAACGTGTACTTGGCTGTGGAGGGTGGTGCCATGTGGCGGCTGTGGGTGGTCCGGGAACCCGTTGCCAACCACAAGATCAAGACAGATGGCATTGTTGTTGTCATCTAATCTAGCCCTTGGATTCCCGGGACCCACAACATCATGATTGCTGTTTTTAACAACTGGAACATCATGATTGTGTTTTCCTTCATATGCGGTTATAACTGCTTTAGGATCATGTGACGCGCGTTCTACATGTTTTCTTACATTGCATCCAGCACTTGTGCATTTGTAATAACTCCTGTGTAATGTGTTGGGTCATGGGTCAAATTGGTTTCGGGTCAACAGGCGGGTCGGGTTGACCCGCTATCAGTTTTTATCCGGGTTTTTTTTGAAGTTTCGTAATTAGTTATTAGATATGATAAAAGAAAAAAAAAAAAAAAAAAAAAAGACATTTTTAATAAGGGTTTACCGAAAATGGGTACCAAGGATTATTCTCTATAATTTTGTAATTTACAGAAAAAGTCCCTGTGAAGTTTATTTTTTTACAGAAAAGTCAATATGTTTATGATTTTCATATGTTGGCAGGTTTGGCCCCTGTGTAGAAAATAAATTACAAAACTAGTCCCCGTAATTTACAGAAAAGGTCCTTGTGCAGTTTTCGTTTACAGAAATGGTCCATATGTTTAAAAAAATTACAAAAATAGTCCCTACCCAACAGAAAATTTGCATATTACACCCCCCACAATATATTGCCATGTTTCATGATTTCATCCCTACGCTTTTTTGGTTTCACAGTTTGGCCACAGGACTTTTGTATACTAGTTCTACCTAATGATATTTATATGTGACAAAATAGTTGTAATTGGAAGAAATGAAAATATGATGCTATAAATGAAAAAAATACATACCTAGGGTTAGGATTGCCTCTCACAACTTTTTGACCATATTTCCTCCAACGGTATCCATCATCCAATATATCAACCTCACTGGTGGTTTGAACCACCACACGTGGCTCACGTATAGGCTTCACCACCGGAGTCACATCAAGTGCACCAAAATCCGTTCGCCTGATCAAAATCAAAAAAATAAAAATCAACGATCATTATAGAAAAAAAAAATCTCACAAACTTTATCACCTTTTTTTGGAATATGGATCATCCTCATCATCAATCCCATCTGTGTTTTCTTGATTTGCATATTTAGGAGATTGCACAGGGGTTCCACTGTCGTCTAAGTTGGGATTCTGGACATTATTTGCAGACATGCCTTTGATAATGAAAAATGAAATAGAGATTAGAAGATAATTATATATAATAATGGTGGAGAATGTGAAAAAAAAGAAGCTAAAGTAACCTGGTTGATAATTTGCATATTGAAGTTTATCAAGATTTTCCTCTTGAATTGACATAAGAGCACCAGCACTAAATCGGCGACTAGGTTGAGGTTTAGGATGATCATGTGTCCCTTTATACACAATCTCAGTTATTTGTCCAGTATAAGATCTTTCAAAAATCTTTTTCACTTCACAATTTGGATGTGTACATTTGTAATAGCTTCTTGGATGTTCACTTCCTTTCACAACTTTCTGCCCGTATTTTCTCCAATTGTATCCATCATCTGATGACCTGTCAACTTGGATCGTGGGTCCCGCATCTTTATGCTTCCCCAATCCGTTTGTTTCCTCATGAGACATGTAAGCAGATGAAGATGCAGATGCGAATGATTGAGGCTCACTTTGGTTTTGATATTGCCCACTTGGTTCTCCTCTTTGAAGATTGGAACCTGTAGAAACCTTTCATGCAATTGCAACCAGTATTATTTATAATCCGTTTTAGGGGATGATTCTTTTTTGCTTAATGAGTTAGTTAATCATATGGTTGTTTCTTTTTTACTTAATCTGTATAAAATGACTTAATGGGTTAAGCCAAAAAAAAACCTGGTTTAATGTATTAAGACAGGAACCCTTTAGCTATTTTCCTTTCTTTTTTCCTCTCATGTTAAAATTGATGACTGTTGTGAAATGTAAGGGTACAATGGTCATTTAGTCTCAATTAAAAGAAACAGAGTCTATGTATAATAATATATGGCTCTTTATCCGGATAAACATCATTACACATACAGGACTTAATGAGGAAAAAAGGAAACAATCCCTTGGTTTAGTCATGTGAGGTGCCATGTGGACATAAAGTGAACACTTTTTTCCAACAGGATGCCATGTAGGATTGAATAACAGTTAAAACGTGTTCCAATCATGCAATTGAAACTAGACGAAAAGTTTTTATAACAAATTTTAGTACATAATAGGTCAATACCTGATATCCTGCAGAAGAACTTTGTGGAACTGATGTAATTTGGGTGTGTGGTTTAAACTCAAAGAAACCAGAGTTACTATCATCCAAGGGCTTTCTTGAAGAACAATTTGCATCTAAAGAGAATGCAGCAGTGGTGATTGACCTTTGCATCAGTGAGGAATTAAAGAAAGAACCTGTGGTAGGAGAAGGTTCGGCCTACAAGATCAAAAAGGGAATTTTATAGACTCGTTGTCAATAAGCTTCATAATTGTTTATTAAATACTATTACCCCTTATTCTCTAGCAATCTATTCACACAAGCTGAAAACATGATTCGTGTAGTCTTAATCTTTCAAATAAAAGGGTACACAATTCATAATGGTCTCGATTCCATGACTCTAGAAATTACCATAAACAACTAGGGCACAATAAAGGGAAAGGTGGAAAAGGCCACCAATGGAAAAGGAATATTCAGTTTTGTAAAGGAATAACACTGAAAGCTTATTGAATACAGCTAATCTATATTAAAAATTATGGATACTAGGCAAGAACAGTTGCATAAAGAAGAAACTAATGGGAAACAACATCATTGTAAGCATCAGAATACAACGGCCCCATAGGAGCACATAAGCATAGATATTGTAATATATTCTTCAAATGAGCACTTTGAAAAGGATTCATTTAGTTCTACAAACAAAACACACCGTTCTGATGGAACGAATAGCGCATCTAAATAAGAATATCATACAAAACGCACTTAGAAAAAGCTCAGATGATGAAACTAATCTCAATCACAACAGATCACATCAACGAAATCACCAAAATTCTCCACTAAAGCCTACTCTGACGTAACCATTTACCTACTCAAATCGAACGAGATTTTTCGTTTTTCCAAAGTAACTCGTTTTCTGGAATTATAAAAGGAGGAGAATTTACAAAATCTACATCCAAAAATCCAAATCGATTAAAGGTAAGCAAAACCTATGTACGAAATAAATTGAGCGAGACAGACAGGCAAATCATACCTTCATGTTAGTCAGGAGGACAGGCGATTCGAGGAAGGAGGTAGGGCTGAGACCGGGAGGGACGTTGATGGAGTTAGACCTTGAGATAGGGAGTTTAGCTGGTGACATTAGCTTGTATTTAGCACCACCACCGGCACCGGCGGATCTGAGTCCGAAAACATCTCCTCCTCTCTGTTTCTGATGACCGGTAACATCGACATTTGAGGTAGCGGTGGTGGAGGAGTGAGAGTGAGGAGAATGTTGGTCATCCATGGCGGAAAATTGTGATCCAGTTTCAGGTTACGGGGGAGAGAGAGAAAAGGGGGTATCAAGTAACAGGGGTATTTTTGACATTTCAGATGTTGAGTGTGTTGACTTACGGGAACTAGTTTGTCTCATTTGTTCAGGCAAATAGAACAACAGAACATGATTATTTAGGCATTTTAACAGTGAATTAACACAAAAGGTCCCTTAACTATTCAAAAAACTTCGTTTTTAGTATCTAAAATATTAATTCTTCATTGTAATCTGTGCATTTTGTGTTAATATATTTCTAAGAGAATATTTAGAGCAATTCTATATTGTATTAAACTTTGCTTTTAGAACAATTTACCAAACATTTGACAAAAGAGTAAACAATTTAAAGAGTAGGTCCGTATTCTAGTGAAGCTTGTTTAAAAAATCATGATAAGAAGTTTAAAATAAACAAAAAATGTATGTACTCTGGATTTTGGAATTATTTTGAAATAAAATATTGATAGTTAATACGATAACCATATAGCATAACGATTCAAATAATAGTGTATTGCACATTTGGTTGGTATGAATTGTCCTGATTTTAAAATTCTATCATAGTTGGTCATTTCTTCTAATATCATTAAAAAATTTCAGTCAAGTCCAATGTAAAAAGAGATTTTGTAGACAGGGAAAATTACTTACCTGCCACAATGTAAAAGTAAAAATAAAAAAATAAAACTAATTCTAAGATCGGACGGTATCATTGTGGGAAATGGGAGAGGGAAGCTTCCCTCACACTGGAACACTATTCCTTGGGTGAGAGAAGCAACCCGTGGGAAAGAGGTAGTGGATGTGGTATCACACGCTCTCTCTTCATGCTATTGAATAGTTTTTTTTTTGTTTTTTTTAATATTTATAAAATTATATACCTATTAAAAAAATATAAAATTTATATCAAAATTTATAGTTTATAATTCCCTACAAAATAAGTATAATATATGTAAGAAATATATTTTTTTTTAAAAATAAAAAATAATAATAATGGGAGCGTCCCACCTATTTCTTGGGTTTTAGGTGAGGAAAAGGAAATTGAAAGAAATAGTGGTGTGGCCCACAAAAAGTAAGGGAAACATCTCTCTCATACCCTCCAGTCTAACGGCAATCATTTTCTTCTCCCCAAACCCATAGAGAGAAACCTCCTTTGACTCCATTATTGGCCACCACCTACACCTTAATCATTTTAATCATAGACCACCACCTTTACATTCATCGTCTTCCTCTTTTTCTCCCTCGTTATCACACTGTCGCCACATCTCAACCCCTTACCTCCTCCATCCCCGTCGCCATAAGAGATCGCCACCAAAAGTAACAGCATATATATATATATATATATATATATATATATATATATATATATATATATATATATATATATATATATATATATATATATATACCTTCATTATAATATCATTGAATATAAGTCATGGATTGAATCATTCTCATACATGTTCAATATTTATTTCATGATCTATGAATGAATATAATGCATGTGGTACAAGTCTTGACGATATCATCATTAACAGTATTTATTGTTGATGACATCATCAATGAAGTTGTCGAATATTTTTCATTGTCTCGAAATTTGACAAAACTTGCACAGATTATTAGAAATAGGTTAAATAACAAAATTCATCAGTTAGTTATGATATAGCGTGTTGTTTTGAATTCGAAATCGTTTATGGCCTCAAAATGATGTTCTGATGTTATATAATTTTTTTTAATCTTTTTTAAGTATAGTTTATGTAGATAATTGATTAAGGAGTTTATCCCAATAAATTTTGATTTTTTGGGATTATGGAGAAAATATTATCTTCGCCTATAAGCAATTTGTTTCCTTTGTTTTGAGATAGTTGATGTTTATCACTAAAGAATCCTTTTTGGAATTATATTTTATATGTTATATAATTGTATTGGTTGTAATCAGTCATTTAATAAGATCGTCTGGGAACTAAAATAAAATCAACATAATCATTTGGGTGTGGACACACACTTAGATCTATTCGACTTATCAAGGGGATGACACTTATCACACTTCGACAATTAGATAGACAAATCCTACATTTGATTATTTGTGTTCATCGCCAATTTTCACACTACAATTGTCAGTAATCTTTATAATTTCCTTGTTCAGAAAAAATGTTTAACATGCATCAAGGCACAATGATATCCTTGCTTAGAATCCATCATATATTTTACATTGAAGGATATAAAAGTTAACTCGTTTTCAAGATTCACTCAAGGATGTTAATCCATGTGGTGACATCTTGAGGTGGGTCTTTCCAATATTCATAAACAATGAATACATGTGAATTTTGGCTCTTTTCTAAGATATATTCATCTCTATGAACATCATCAATCTTTCGCATTAATCTTAGTTCGTAATTACTCATGCTATTATGACCGACAATGGAGATTTAGAATAGTTAACAACTACTCATGAATCGGACATGCTAATATAAGGCATGGTGTTGTTGATGAGAACAATCAAACCTTATACATTTAACATTTTTTTTTAAAGTTGTGTGTATAGTGAAGTGCAAGGTCTTTAGCATGAAGATTTTATAAGAATGAAATGAGTGTTTGCATACAGATCGGTTATTCCATATGTATCATTTTTAGGAACCACTTTGTTGGGATCATGATGTTAATGTCGTTGGTGATACAACTCCATAAGAAAAGTTGTATAAAAGAAAACCGAATTTAGAAAATATTTGTATATTTGGGTGTCTAGCACATGCAAAAGTTGAACCGGTAAATCTCAAGATGTTTGATGCAAGATCAAGACCACTAGTGCATGTTGCATCTGATATGTCACACCCCCAAATCAGGATGACAGAAACGTCCAGGGGTGGATGACTTTCATGTATTGTATCATAGCATAATGAATAATAGTGATAAAAGCAAACACAACCATCATAAATATAACTGATAAAGTTACATTGTTGTAAGAGTTGCATATTTCAAAATCAATTACAATATGATGATAAAAAGATTTGTCTAACGCCTTAGCGTCCCATCCTCAAAAGCTTGTAGTTACCTATTTTAGTGGATTCCTGAAAATACAACTAATTTTGAAAAGTATCAATTGTTGGTGAATTCATATGAGTTTATATGAAGAATTGTAAGCCTTTCCTTGTAAAATGATAATGTTCATTTCCAGAAAACCTAATATTTCCCTTGAAATGAATTGTAGTCTTAGAAACCCTAAGACTGAAATTTACAAGTATTTCCATACTTAAAATACTAATATGCAGTTTTAATTTATATAAAATCGTTTGAATGTATGTTTTCCCGTAAACTAAATGTATCGTTGGTTCCCCGTGTGAGTTATTATAATCGTGTTAAAGACATAGATTAAATGTTACGACGTTCTTCTGGCGTCAGAATGTTAGATATTTGTCACCCCATACCTATCGGTCTAGCTGTTGCAAGCAGCTTAGGTGTGGAACTGTCAGTCCCGTATATATCTATACGCAAGTATCACACTCTCTTATGGAAGATTCTGATTATAATACAAGACTTTTGTAGATACTCTGATAAGTGTGATGAAGACTTTGTCTCAAAAAAGTTGATTCAACGTGTCTATGTATAATATAATGAAAACCCTTTTTGTAACTGGAAATATTGCAATTTCATAATAAATGCATAGTGTAAAATAATCATACAATTAAATTACTATTTGTATTGTATCCCAAAATAGTAAAACAATGTCAATAACCCATAAACTATATCTATTATTATAGTTTATTATAAATGTTTTGTTGTAAATGAAAACATTTGTATGTATAATTATCACTTTTCCATGATAAAAAAAATGGTATAAAATAATTATATATATATATATATATATATATATATATATATATATATATATATATATATATATATATATATATATATAGGGTTAGGTTCATGTGAGACCACTTGATTTTGTGAGACGGGAAGACCAAATCTTGACCACTCATCCTAAATAATCAAAGGCTAATATTAATTCAGATTAAACCATAAAATAGGCGGTGGCAATTTTGTAAATTAATGGAACTTTGGGATTAGATCAAGACACGGAGGGGCATTAATGGAATTTTGCATTCTTTTTCTTTCAACACACAAAAACAAACACCCGGTACGAACCCTAAAACCCATTTGATCCAAATCTCGATCATCGTTCTGCTTCCAAAATCTCGATCATCGTTCTGCTTCCAAATCTCGATCATTGTTTCAGACTCTAATTCTGATTATACCTGAAATTCATCTTCCGATTATTACACGAAAACCACTCGATAATCAACTAGAACATTAAAAACATTTCGATTTTGAATTTGATATCGAATCAAATGGCTCATTCTACAGATTCTGATTCTGATTTTGTATCAACAGCTGTTCCAAGTAAGTATAATACTACAAACCTCTTGTTCTTACACAATAAACCTATATGTTCTTATTATAGAAAGTTTTTTCACTTTAAATCGTGTTGTGTATTCAATAAATGTGTAATAATCGAGATAGTTCACTAACTATTTATATGTCGAAGTCAGTATGTAAAGGAATATAGCATTATAAAGCATACAATCTAAACCTAAATCTCAGTGTGTGATTTATATAGAGTCTATGTATCTAAATGTTAACTGTACAGAGTGTTCTAATTATTCCCCCATTTCATTTGATCTAAATATTCTTAATCAAAATCAGCAAAGATGTTATGTTATTCTAACTAATTGTTCATCATTTAATTAGATTTAGATCCATAAATTGTCTAATACTATAGATTTTGGTAACACAAATCTCTTATTATGATTGTAGTATATTGTTTAGCCAAAAAAAATCTTTGTATTCTAGTGAATTTTATGTTGATTGATAAATAGAAATTTGTTGTTATGTATTTATAGAACTGTGACCAGATTATATATCATAAACTAATATGAATTCTAATGGAATTTGATGTTATTGATGCAGCTAAAAAAGTGCAAACAAATGCAACTGTAAGAAAAACAGGGAAAGAAATCTATATCGATATAGGTATAAATTGTGATTACTTTTAGATTATATATTATAATTGCTTTTATTAACCTCTAAATGCTTTTAATAAATATTCTAATTGTTTTTATTTGATAATTTTCTTCATACAGATTCAGCAAGTCAAGATAGGGTTAAAAAAGGTATGAACACCCTTTCTTTCAAATAATTCATAAAAAAAAAACAAATGTTTGGATTTATTTTTCTAATTGATTTTAATTGTAAATCAAAAGAAAAAGAAGACAAACCTTATGTTGATTGATAAATAGAAATTTGTTGTTATGTATTTATAGAACTGTGACCATATTATATATCATAAACTAATATATTCTAATTGATTTATTTTTCTAAGTTAGTTATTCTGAATATTCTAATTTTGTTTTATCATGTATTCTAATTGATTTTAATTGTTAAATTTCATGACAAAAGATTTGTAAATTCTAATGGAATTTGATGTTATTGATGCAGCTAAAAAAGTGCAAACAAATGCAACTGTAAGAAAAACAGGGAAAGAAATCTATATCGATATAGGTATAAATTGTGATTACTTTTAGATTAAATATTATAATTGCTTTTATTAACCTCTAAATGCTTTTAATAAATATTCTAATTGTTTTTATTTGATAATTTTCTTCATACAGATTCAGCGAGTCAAGATAGGGTTAAAAAAGGTATGAACACACTTTCTTTCAAATAATTTATAAAAAAAAAAAACAAATGTTTGGATTTATTTTTCTAATTTTGTTTTATCATATATTCTAATTGATTTTAATTCTTAAATTTCATGATAAAAGATTTGCAAATTGTAAATCAAAAGAAAAAGAAGGCAGATGAAGGAAAATCAAAGAAAAAAATTAAAAAAAAAATGTTGTTACTTCTGAAAGCGACTCCGATTCTTCTTCTGATTCATCCTCACATCATAAAAAAAGAATTAAAAAAGGTATCAACAATCATTCTTTAAAACACTTATTCTAATTTTCAATCATTCTTTAAAACACTTATTCTAATTTTTTGGATTTATTTTTTTCGGTTGATTATTATGAACATTCAAGTTGATTAAAATAAATATTCTAATTTATTTCAATTTTTAAATTTCTTCATACAGCTAAAAATACAAAAAAGAAGAAAATACTTGAAAAGAAAAAATGACACTATGTTTCAGATTCTTCATCTTTACAGTCAGAGACATCAGAGTCAGAGACATCCACAACACATAGTGATGAATATGGTAAAATATGTTGTCTTTTATAAATATATGTTGACATCCAATAAAAGTATATATATTTTCTAATAGAATAATTATTGATGCAGATAAAGTAAATAAAAAGAAAAAAAAGAAAAGTCAAAAAACATTTCAAGCGCCACAAGAAATTAATCCATAATGATGTGAAGCACAAAAAGAAAAAACATGTTTCTGATTCTTCAAGAGAATCACAGACAGAATCATACACACATTCAACGGGTAAAATAATCTAAACTTTTTTTTTTCGTGAAATATGATTTTATACTTTACAATTCCAATATTATGGAACAATATAAATATTAGAGTGTTTCGAAGAATATATTTCATAGACTATGTTTGACATGAATTACTTATGGATCATAATTGAAAATTCTTGGTATTTTGATGTGAAAGTATTTTTCTATTGTTTATTGATGTGAAAGTATGTTTCTATGATATTACACACATTCTATATATTATTATATCATAAATCATGTTATACTTGATTTTTTTGTTGTTTTACTTAGCTGATATAAGATTTTGCAAACATTTGAGTTTAATTTTTTATAAATAATATAATTTGAATAAATATCTACATTTTACTTAGATGATATAGTATTTTTGGATTAAATTCCGTAGAATATTCTGATATAATAAGTGTATATGTATAATATTCTGTTTGGAATATTAGTTTGTAATTAAATGAAATATGATTTTTGGATTTTTGTGGGGTTACTAACATCTATGACTGATGTAATGAATTAGATGATGAATCTGATGAAGAAATCTATGTAAAAAAGAGAACCGGTGATAGAAAATATGTTGAAGGAGTGACAAAGATTAAAGAAGCAAAAAGGAAGAGGAATAGTAGGGACAATCGTGCAGCAGTAAAGAAACAAAAAACCGTGAAAGAGCAAAAGACTGTGAAAGATATATTGAAGGAGTTGCCTTCAATAAACACTAGATCAACACCTGGATTGATGACAGATGTTGTAAGTTCTTTGACATCTAACAAAAAGATTGGGTGAAACGGATGGGATTTAAAGCCTTTTTGAAGATCAACATTGAGAGTATTCCCTTAAAACTTTGCCATTTTGTGCGTAAGCATTACGATGAAGGCACAAACAGTATTCTGATTAAAGGAAAAAGAATAAAGATCACAAAGGAAAAAATTCATAAAGTGTTTGGTTTACCCAAAACTGGAAAAAGCTTATTTGATTTGGACAAGGTTAGTGAAGATCATCAAGTCTTTGATGGATGGATGAAGGAACTTGAAGATGGAAAGGCAAATGCAACAAATTACAAGAAGATTATTCAAAAATCCGAACAAGTGGATATGAATTTCAAGCTGGGTTTCATAGCTTTATTCGTTAATACGTTTGCAGAATCCATTCCTATGGGGACAAACAACTTAGTTCCAGTTAGAGCACTTGTTGAAGTAGATGACATTTCTAAAATCGATTGGTGTGCATATTTGTTGTACTGTGTGAAAAATTCAAAAGGGAGATGGCGTCCAGACGACCCCAAGTGTTATTATAAAGGCCCGATGTTGTTGCTATTGGTATGTTTTTTCATATACTTATTTTTTTTCTTAAAAATGGATATCTAATATGATGTTGAAATAATGCAGCTAATTTACTGTGATGAAATTGAATGCAAGCTCCAAAAAATAGAACGTAAAACACCATTAGTTACAATGTGGATAGCAGATAAGTTGAAGGAAAGACAATCTTTTGAGATTGAAGCTGGTGGATTTGGGGTTGGGAATCTAATTGAACAAAGTTCAAATTTAGAACTTGAGAAGAATGAAAATCAGGTGAATGAGAATCAGGACATGCGTATTGTAGCACCTGGTTTCCGGTATGTGAATTTTATTTGAGTATTGCCCAATTTTAGCCTTGGACTCGGCGAGTCACTAGGTCCGACTCGACGAGTAGGGACGAGACCCAGGACACGTTTAAGTTGGCGACTCGGCGAGTCCATATCCTGGACTCGGCGAGTCACCGCTGTTGGATGAAACCCTAAGTTTCAGGGGTTTGCTCCCTATTTAAACCCCATATCTGCCCCTTGCCAGCCCCCATTCACCCCCAGAGCTCCCAACCCTCGTCCTAAGCTTGTTTCTTGTGTAGTTGAGGCTCTTGTGTGCATTATTGAAGGTTTTGAGGCAAGAAGGGAAGGAGATCAAGAGAAAGGAGAGCCATCCAAGCATCATTGTGTTTTTCAGCTGTATCATTGAGGTATATCTCGTTTTTCCCCTGTTTCTATGCTTAAGATTTCACTTACGACACTCTTGAGCAATTCCTCAAGCTTGTTTGTGCTTAATGTTTCGTAATAAGTGGATTGGCCTTTAGATCTAGGCAAGATTGAGCTCCAGGAGCTCAGATCTGTTAGCTTTATGGCCCCATGTGGCTTGTTCATCCTAGATCTACCCCTTTGAGGCATTTTGAACCCTAAAATCCATATTAGTGAGTATCCACACGTAAAGTTGGAAACTTTACGTGTGATTTGTGTCCTAGAAGTCCAGATCTATGAATGGCATGGACTGAAATCGAGTAAATCGGTGTATTTGGTGGATGCATGGCGACGACTCGGCGAGTCGTATAGGTGACTCGGCGAGTCTGGTCGCGAGTCACCGAATTGGTCCCTTCATGATGTATCGAGTTGAGCCGTGAGTCACAGGGGGTGACTCGGTGAGTTGGGAGCTGAACTCACCCATGTTAGGACTCGGCGAGTCGATGCCCTGACTCGGCGAGTCCGAGGCAATCTTCATAAGATCAAGAACAGACTCGGCGAGTTGTTCATACAACTCGGCGAGTCTTAGCATATGTGTTCTTCGGATGAAGATGAACTCGACGAGTTGTTCATACAACTCGGCGAGTAGGATGAAGGAGTTGAATGACAGTTTAGGAGATGAACTCGTCGAGTCATAGCCCAACTCGACGAGTAGAATCAGGGACCCAGGACAATAGTTTGCTAGGGACTCAGCGAGTGGAGATCCACTCGGCGAGTCGGGTAAACTAATAGTTGACTTCGATTTGACCTAGGGCTAGACCAGGGGTAAAATGGTCTTTTTACCCAAAGGACAGTTAGCAGTGTATGACTAAGTATATTGTGGGAATTACAGCCGGGGAGTTTCCGAGCAGCAGCAGCAGTAGTAGGTGATCAATTCCCACACAGACCAGCAGCTATTTCGAGGTGAGTTTCCTTTCATTAGTAACGGGTCTAAGGCACCAAGGCCGGCCCGTATAGATGGGACGTTAGTATTATAGTGTGGGCCGAGCCCGTATCTATTAGTCGAGTTGATTGTGATATATACCAGTATGATAGAACTGTTTATACTTGTTGTCTGCGTGATACTTGTATGATATGTGTTGACGGTTGGGTGTGGGCAGGCCCGTATCCCTCCGAGAATGGAGTGTGGGCTAGGCCCGTATCTCCCAGGTAGCGAAGTGTGGGCGGGGCCCGTATCTTCACGAGTGTGGGCGGGGCCCGTATCTCTCAGAAAGTGAGGTGTGGGCGGGGCCCGTATCCTCACGAGTGTGGGCGGGGCCCGTATCTCCTAATTGCATGTTATTTGTTATATGCTGTATGGTATGGGGTATTATGGGGGAGCTCACTAAGCTTTGTGCTTACGGTTTCAGTTTTGGTTTCAGGTACCTCCTCAGCTAGGGGAAAGGAGCCGGCACGGTAGCAGCATGTCACACACACACTCTTCGGTTTCCGCATTTACGAGATTCACTGGGATTGTACTCTGATATTTGATGGATTGTATGGTTTGAATATTAAAACATGGTTTGCGATGTGTTATGGCGTGATCAAACAATGCTTTTATTTATTAATGTTTTCTAAAAGTAATATTTTAAAATGAAATTTTTGGACATGAAAATTGGGTCGTTACAAGTTGGTATCAGAGCCCTGGTTTGAGGGATTCGGACACGCCTTCGGGAGTGTCTGAACTCAAATCGAGGGATTGAAAGATTTTCAAAAGAAAATGTTCTCTAAAAACTCGGAAAAGAGTCATAAGAAAGAGCGAAGTGTGTGACGTGCGCGACCGGCCGAGCTCAAGTAAGTATTCCCCATAGTACCCATACAAGTTTATGTTATGTTTATCAGCTTATGTATAACCGCATGCTAGAATAGGGCTAAGGATCTAGGAGTGATGCCTTATGTGCCTGCTTATGTGTTATAGCTTTATGAGTATTGCATGCTAGAATTGAGTAGACAGCAGTAGGATAGCCTGTTTAGGTTATGCCTGATAGTATGAGCTTAGCATCTTATGCTGGTGCCGTTTCTTGTTATAAGAATAGTTTTGGCTTGAGTCTGTTTCCCCTTAACCGAATGTTGCTTGCTTCGTGCTTGGTGGGGTTCTGAGTAATGGGAGTTAGCCACTAGGTAACACGTCACACCACATGTAATCAGGTTTGAATAATCCCAAAGTATTGGAACTGGCCCTATTGCGCAGCTCTTGTTTGAGTCCAACCGTTGTAGGGACGGATCTTTTACTTGAAGGATTATCTAATCCTCATCACATGTGATGGTGTTTAGGTGGTGGCTAACTGGCATTATGAGGAGACCTACAGCAGCTGAGGACCAGCGTGTTGAACTTGAGTTTTCCCTAGGGCAAGCCTAGGAGAATAGCAGGAGTAGCAGTAGTAAAGGGGATCTGGTGAAGTCGAGGAATTTCTCGGGAAGGTACGGATAGATGTGAAAGGTAGTATGGGCCCGTACTACTGGAAGCAGAGGATCCGTACCCTAGCCGAGGAAGGCCAAGACGAGACCAAGGAACCTGTAAGTAGTTGAGATCCCTCAGAAAGTAGCAGTATCACTAATGATTATTATGATGTTTTGCAGAATGGTGGTACTTCGACCGAGACCGACAGATGGCGGGTCAGGAGAGGGGTCAGGTTCGGGATCAGGCACCGAGCCGATTGACGAGAGGCTACGTGAGTTCATCACGTCGGAGATTACCAGGGGCATCCTTGAGTCGACCCCCATCCTCTTTGGGTCGATCAAGGAAGGGATCATAGAGTTGATGGAGGATCGCCTACGGGCATTCAGGAGCGATTTAGCCCTAGCCAGTCAGGATCTCGCACACTGTCCTTCAAGGACTTCAGGGGCAGTGGTGCGCCGGATTTCCATGGGGTGAAGGACCCCATTGTCGCCAGGCGGTGGATTGCGGATATCGAGTCCGCCCAGTTGACTAGCTTCTGCCCCGAGGGGTCGAAGGTGAGGTACGCAGCAGGGTGTTTACGGGACCGAGCCCGGGATTGGTGGGAGTCAGTGGGTGACTCGTTGGGAGCCTCGGCTATCGAGGCAATGACCTGGTCGGACTTTGTGGCTAGGTTCAGGGCAGAGTTTGCACCGGCGGTCGAGCTTCAGCAGCTGGCCAGGGAGTTTCTAGACATGAGGCAGACGACAGAGACCGTGGCGGAGATCACCGCCAAGTTTCGTGAGAGGGCTTTATTGGTGCCCCAGTATGCCGGTGACGAGGACATGAGGAGGACTCGTTACCATGATATGCTACGAGCTGACATCCGGGAGCATGTTAGTTTTTCGGCTTGCCCCACCCTGGACTCCATGATTGCCAGGGCTAGGGAGAGAGAGATAGATTTGGAGCACATCCGGAAACGGAAACTAGAGGACGGTCAGGCAGGAGGGGCTTCGGGGAAGAAGCCCAAGGGACCAGACGGTAGACCGAAAGGTCATTCAGGATCGAGCCGCTGCGGGAAATGCGGCAGGACGCACGTGGGGATGTGTAGGATGGGATCAGGAGGCTGCTACAAGTGCGGCAAGACAGGGCACTTTAGCAGGGATTGTACTGCTCCAGTTTCAGCTATTCAGACATCCGAGTTGCTGTGTTTTCACTGCAACCAGAGGGGCCACAAGAAGGCCAATTGCCCCCAGTTGTCAGTTGCAGCGCCAGTGAAGGCGCCGGCTCCAGCGACCCTGCGGATCACGGACGGTCGGCAGGGCAAGGCAGAGGCTCCAGTAGTGAGGAGTCGGGCATTTCAGTTGACTGCCGAGGAGGCACGCGCCGCGCCCGATGTGGTGACGGGTATGATTCTTTCCTTCTATCTTTTGTTTTATGTTGTTATGATATTGATATGTGCTCCGTGTGTATACATGTGTATTAGGATCGTTCCATGTGAACGGCATCCGGTTCAGGTATTGTTCGACTCGGGTGCATCCCGATCGTTCGTTTCTCTTGCTCTTAGCAAGAGATTTCATGAGACTTCAGGCGAGTTAGATTGCCCGTTAGAGGTAGAGATTGCTGACGATCGATCGGTGCGAGCATCGATGGTGTTTCGAGATTGTGTTCTGCGACTGTTTGAGGAGCGTTACCTGGTAGACTTGGTTCCCATCCCATTGCGTGGGAACAAGGTGATTATTGGTATGGATTGGTTGAGCCCTAATGGGGCAGTGATAGATTGCGCGCAGCAGCTAGTGCGAGTCAGGACCCCAAGCGGGGGAGAGTTAGTGATTCATGGAGAGCGACCGCAGTGTGGACCCACTGTATGTTCAGCAGCGAGGGCTAGGCGCTACCTTCAGCAGGGATGCGCGGGTTATGTCGCGTATGTGATGGATACCCGGGAGGCGGGTAAGGCGACCGTGAGCGAGGTCCCGGTGGTTCGAGATTTTGCAGATGTTTTCCCGGAGGAACTACCTGGGATACCTCCGGAGCGACAGGTGGAGTTCAGGATTGACCTCATTCCCGGTGCGGCTCCGATAGCCAAAGCACCATATCGGTTGGCTCCTCCCGAGATGCAGGAGTTGTCTACGCAGCTACAGGAGCTGCTGGACAAGGGATTTATTCGGCCGAGCAGTTCACCCTGGGGAGCCCCGATTCTGTTTGTAAGAAAGAAGGACGGGTCGCATCGG